TCACATCGACAACTGCTAATGACCACGAAGAAGAGCCAACTGAGTAAGTAGTTTGAGTATTAAAAGTGCCATTGCCTGCATAGAGGAGGACACTGACAGTGTTCGAACCAAAGTTTGCAACAATAATATCAGGCTTATTATCGCTATTCACATCGGCAACTGCTACTGACCGTGGAGTACTGCCAACTGAGTAAACAGTTTGAGCACTAAAAGTGCCATTGCCTGCATTGAGAAGAACGCCGACGTTGTTCGAACCAGCGTTTGCTACGATAATATCAGGTTTATTATCGCTATTCACATCGACAACTGCTAATGACCGTGGAGTACTGCCAACTGAGTAAGTAGCTTGTCCATGAAAAAAGTTGCAGACTATTAAGGACAAAAATTATTTTAGTATTTTGAATGATTTATAGACAAAAAGTCATCGTCTTACAGGCCGACTTTTTAGTTTAGTTAATGTTTAGAGAAGGATAAAACAGTCGAGTCTAGGGAATCACGAGAAGTTATAAAAGCGTCAACTAGTACATTCAGCTTCGTATATAGATACTAGCTTGCCTATGTAGAAAGATCATTTTTTTATCTTCAGAATTTTTCTATGCAATAAATTCGTTTTGTTTATTCGAATTTGATATGATTCGAAGTATCAAGTACTACATTTTAAAATCGCGTGAAACTAATTCTCTTTTCAACATCTGACGTAAGTATTAAGTGTTTAACTCTATACTCACCATTTGTTGTTGATGATGATATTGCTGTTGGTGTTGATGATGTTGTACTCGGCTCTGTTTCGGAAAAAAGAGATTAATGTAGTGCAATACAATCCGAAGACAGATACTAATCACTAGCGAAAACCACAAATTACAGTCAGTAGAAAATATCATTGATTTATTAGCAAATTTTTTTGGAATTTAAAAAACACAAACGTCAAATTATTAGAATTTGGGTCTATAAATAGTTAACATATTTTTGCAGTATTGCGAAATGAAAACGTACAAGTCATATCGAAAATAAACTTACGATATTTTAGAATATTTAATATTGATATTGATGATTGATTAAGAAATATAAAAGTAGAATTTGAATAAAATTCAATATAGATTGTACTTGTATTTGAACGAAATAATTGACAAGTTTGATTTGTTGAAAAATAATTCAAAGCAGATATTGAATCATTTACTTTGATCATTTCACATATGCATTGATCTTCTGTTACATTGAATAAATTATTATACATATTACCAACTATTATAATATTTTGTATTTTAGTAATAAGAATAGAATTACAAACAGAAAATAATGATAAAATAAATATTATCTAAAACATGTTGTATTTCTTTACTTTCTAAAATATTTTATAAATGTTTGACTAACTTGTATCACCAGTTTTTTCTTCTTTTTTCTACAATACTCTTTCTCTCTGATTTAATAAGTGTTCATTCCCGGAAAAAAGCGCCATACGTTTTTGCAACAAGCTTTTTTTTCCAACAAAACTGATACATCCATAACTACACTATGTTATTGTTATTTCTTTAACGATTTAGAGGATTGAATTCGCCACCATCAAGATATTAACAAAAGAAAAAAAATTTGTATGAACATACTCTCCTTAAAATTATTCTATTTTTAACTAAGTTGTCCTTTTACAGTATTTTTCAAATATCAGGAAAAACAGAAAAAAAGTCGTGATATCAACAAATGACGTCCTCTATACGCTCAATAAACATATTTGTCCGATGAACAAAAATTGCTTCTGCTCATTTCAAATAGATTTAACGTAGGTGTTGACAACAACAGGAATAAACACATATATTCTATCGTTTTTCATTGATTTTGTCGATGACGTTGAATATAATCTTATCTATGATATTTTCCAAATAAAAACCGCTGTAATTAAATATTTGTCTCTTGTACATTAATGTAGCTTCACTATCTTCTCGAATGAATTATATTGAAATAGAAAATTAAGACTGGGTTTTAAAAGGAAATACAATTTTTTGATCATTAATACATTTTCTTGATTTATAATCTATGGGTTTCCTCAAAAACCAATGTACAGTAAAATATATTCTAACTATACAAATTTCAGCTAAACTACTGCGTATCGTATAAAAGTTGTTTTTATAAAAGAAGACATTACTCATAACCTACACTTAACGACATTCTTTTAATCATCTTTCCTTCTATGGACTGGTGCTCGCTTCGTTTCACTTTAAACAAATGATATTTCTTTCCGTCTTCGCGTTTTGTGAAACTTACATATAAAAATGTAGGTGTAAGTTATAATTTCAAGTTTTGTGATTACCTCCTCCTCTCATCCCAACGAGAGAAAATATGAGATTTTTTAGTACTTCATCAAAAAACTCAATGTTCAATCAAATTCATTAGAAATATCGATTCTTACGAGAGAAAACAGTTTAGATTGAATTTTTGTGAGATTTCTGAGCTTTTTAAGATTGGGAATATATATTCTAGTCAGTAAAATAAATAAAATGGTCAGTAGAACTAAAGTGTAGTTATAAAGATCGAAATATGTTATAGCATCACTCTCACACCCATTCACATTTAATGCAAAAATATTTATTACAGAATCAATAATATATTTAGAATTATGAACTTTATGATATTAAACAGTTGAAGCAAGAGAAAACATAGTTTGCTCTCCAAATCATACTGGACAAACACCATATAGGAACAGAGTGTCGTGCATGTATTTGTGAAGAATATTCTAAATCACGCGCAGTAAAACAATACTGATTGGTAAGAGAGAAAACAAAAAGGTGAATGAACAACGGTTAGGTCTATCTTACTAGTACAGTAATCAAATTTTCATATTTTTTTGCTTTCAGCTTTCGAATTTCTACCTAATAATATTGTGATTTCTTATTTATTTTTCTCATAATAATTTAATCTTCATACCAATAACCTTATTTCTCCTAATGAGAAAATCTGAATGTTTTACTAATGAATTTGAAGTTTTACTGATAGTTATATATTAAAAAACTGACCATTTTATAATTAATTATTTTAATCAGCTAATAGATCATAATCTATTCTTCATCTAACTGATATTCATAATAGACAAATTGTCATTTATCCAGTAAAACTATATATGACTTCTTTTTATTTCAAAAAATTATTGATGCATTTAGTCCTGACTATATCACGTATCAATAAGTACATATCCTTTCAAAAACTATTCCAACCTTCGTCAAAAATAGATATAATATATGTTATTGTACAATCACATTTACAATATTCGCCCATCAGTTTTATTAGATAACACGTATTTGAACTATAGAAACCTAAACTACTGATTTCTCATCAGATTTGAATTCAATGTAACATTCTTCACAATGCAATTTCGTACAGTTGTTTTATCTCTATGAAATCTATCCTACGTACTTGTCAATCTAATCATGTTCATTGTCGTTCACCAGTTCTTCACATGACCATTTCATGTACAGTAAACGAATTATCTGCCTTTCTTTTATGAGTATGCTACAAAGCTACTTC